GAACAGAGTACTGGAAACGCTGCAAATGTTATTTCTAATAATGCTGTTAGTTACAATACTGTGCAGAATGCCACCCAAGCTGGTGCTCAAATTGTGTCTCCACATATGAATATACCTAATCTAGTTCCAGTAATGAAACCAGTAAAGCCTCCAGCTCCTGCAAATAAATTTTATACATGCAATCCTTGCCGGGTATCATTCAAAACAGAAAAAGAGTTAAAAGCACATGTTGATTCTCACAATTTGAATGGACATGGGGTAGCTCCAAGAATATGGAAATGTGATTTTTGTGGTTTTATGACAGAAGACATAAAGCTGTACCAAGAATGTCGAAGAGCTCATCATGTACCAACTAAATTCAAATGTGAAGGATGCCAAATCTTTTTCTCGAGTTATAATATTTTAGTAAAGCATCATGAGGATAGTCATAAAAATGACGACTTAGAATTACCTAATGTCTCCAATAGTTTTGAATGCAACCAATGTGGGAAGAGTTATTCAATGAAACATCATTTGAAACGACACATAGAATCTGCACATTAATGTGATTTTTTGTTTTGTATATTTTCATTATAATTTTAGTCATTATGTAAGTACATATGTTCCACTTAATATTAATTTAATATAAGCAATGTTATATTATTAAGTCGTTTGGAAAGACATTTACTATAACTTTTAATATTTTGAAGATATGTTTTCCAAAAGAAAGTTTAAAAAAAATAATTTAATACTTAATACTAGCTTTAATCATTTTAGATTTGAATTTAAGGGTTGCTGAGAAATTGCAATTTTAATAGCATGCATACTTTCATTTTGATTTGACATGTACAATAAGAAATTGTAAATTTATTTGTAAAATAGATATACTAGACCAAATCATTATTTTATATTTATAACAAAGTAATATGTAATATTGAACTGTTTTATAGCTAATAAATGGATTCACAAATTTATTTGATACTTTCTTTTAATTATAAGAAATGTTATATATCATCCACACAAAATATGACATCTGGGCTGTCAAATATAAAAATTTGATATTTTATAGTTAAAAATTAGTTAATTTCACTTACCTCAAGAGCTTTTGCACAGTAAATAACACTAAAATTCAAATGCAGTTAATGATTCTGTAATTATTTGTAATAAACACTCAAATTTGATTCATAAGCAATGTTTTCTAAAAGTGTCAAAATTTTTATTTAAAACACTTGCACTGATAAATCAACGGTCGCGACATTTTGTTTATTGGGAAACGAATGTGAAGTAGATTTCGATTAATTTAGAAACTTTTAGATGTATTTAAATCTGATTTTTTTATGTAATTTTATAAGTTAATGACGTTGTGAAATTTTGTTTAATAGTATTTTTAAAACTAGTAATAATCTATACATTTGGTACGTGAACTCCAAGTCGTTTATTGAATTTGGTAAATTGAACACAGTTTAAATTTCTTCATTAATTTCATTAATTTTATGTCGATATCACCAACATTTCACTATCTTTCACTTTTAACAACTGATTTGCATTCATCTTTGATTTTAATTCAAATCATAGGCCGGTCCGACATCTTGTTTTTTATTGTTCCTTAAATTTGATATTGATCAATCTTTACATTGATAAATTGTTCATACATTCAATAAATGTTCATAATAATAATATTACATTATCTGTTTTTCCGATTTAACTCACTATTCGTACATATATTATCACTATTCGTATTTAATATTTTATTAACACATAATTTTGCACAAATGCAAAAACTCAAATGAATTAACACAAATTTCGACAGTCGTCCAACCTGAACTTCTCTCAATAAGATAGTGCAAAAGAATGCAGTGCGGTCATAATTAAAAAACTATATTTGTTTCACTCTTACTATTTACCCTCTCACTCGCACACACAAATACAAACACTTATAAATACCTATACTCCGTTTTACATGTTTTCGATCTTACACGGTTTTTGAAAATATTTGTTATGAAATTTATCAACTTCCCGTAGAGTAAGTTATAGTAATCGACAAAAAATCGAAAATGAAATTTTTGCATTCCTTCACGTTCCTTCATGTTCAGAGGTTTCTGAACATTTTGGTATACCTTAGACAAAATGTATATATGTGTGTGTGTTTTATGTGTATACATTTTTTTATCCAAGATTCCGGGCGCACGGATCAACCGATTTGAGATATTCAAAGAACATTTGACTCCCACTGATGAGGAGACGTGCTGATTACTTTTTGGCAGAGGCAGGTCCAGCCTTTTCAGAGATACCAAACAAAGAGTCCAGACAATAGCAATCGAGTTTTTGAAAGCGGGGAGCATCCGATTTGAATGATTCAAAATACATTCAATTCGTAATGATGGGAAGAAGTAGTGATCAGTATTTGGCAAAGACAGATGCTGCCGAGATACGGAACTAATTGTACAAAATTGGCAGTTTTTGAAAGAACGAAGCATCCGATTCGAATGATTCAAAAAAACTTTTGCTTGTATTGACGAAACGATTAGATGCAAATCGATTATTATCAAGAAATTTTTTTTTCTAAATTGTTAAATAGTAAATTAAATTAATAAATAGTACATTTATTTTCAATATTCAAAAAACTTCACAAAAAGCACAGTACTGCAGAGAATAGCATTAAAGTTTTGAAAGTGCGCAGCATCCGATTTGAATGATTCAAAAAACATTCAATTGGTAATGTTGGGAAGAAGTAGTATTAGTATATGGCAAAAACGGGTAAAATAATGGTAGTATTTGAGAGAACAAAGCATTGGATTTGAATGTTACAAAAAAACTGTTGCTTGTATTGGCGAAACGATTATTTTTAGGAAAGATTTTTTTTCAATATTAATAAATAGTAAATTAAAATGATAAATAGTAAATTTATTTTCAATATTCAAAAAACTTCACAAAAACCACAGAACTGAAACGAATTAATAGCATTCTAATGTATTTATCTAGGAAAAATTGCTTTGAGATACAAACTTGGTAACAGAACTCGTGATGATATGATATGATTAAACTCGTATGTTGGGGTATATATATATATATATATATATATATATATATTATAATTTATGATTATAAGTAAATGTGAATAATATGAATTTATGATTACAGTAAACTAGCTGTAAGTTTTATTTTGCCTTGAAGCTGGTTACATAAACTTCCCGATATGTGTAAATAATAGACTTAATCAATGAGAATTCAGGTTCAGTAACTTTTAAAATTATGACGATACTAATTTAAAATTTTGATAGTGGTTTATTATACCAAACTATACTGAATTTTTATAATTAAACTAGGTACTTTTCGAAGGCCTATAATATTTAAATATATCCCAAAAAGGGGATGCTCGTTAATTATCATATAAAAGCTTAATCAAAATCATTATTTTAATCAGCACGATTCCTAATTTTACTCTTTTCTAATAAGTCCGATGAGAAATGGTTCGACGTTTTTCGTTCAATGATAGAGGATGATTACCACAGTGCACCTGTTTTCGAAAAACCGTCGATAAGATAAAAATTTCAACCACATCTTGAGTGTGCATACTTTTTCCAAATTGAGCATCATTTGAGTAAATCAAAGACAAAAACCTTCAGAAATCATCAATTTAGCAATTCGATTTGCCGGCGCATTGGCCCTTTATATCTCCTGATTTGAAGGATATCGTGAAGAATTCACTGATCTAAGTTTTTCCAGAAAAATTAATTATGAACATGGTGCAAATCGCCTTAAGGCAAGCTGCTTGATTTTTCCGATTGGTTGGTTTATATTTGATATGAAAATCAAGAATTGAAACCGTTTTTACTGCGCATATGCATGAGGATTTATACACTTTATTTTAGATTTAAAACATTTATTAAAATTATCTACGTAATACCTTTAAATATGACAAGAATGGTCTTCCTTCAGCTTAAATGGTACTTCTTTATATTATATCTATAAATATTAAAAATTGATTTACAATACAAATAAATGATATTTTTATAAAAATCATGAGCCATTTTGCATTGCACAATTTTTTCGTCAGATTTGAACATTCTTATTAAACACTTTGTACTTAAACAATATAATTCTACATTGCTATAATATTACAACTAATTTTTATTTGTCTCTGGACTGTGGCTAACCATAAATCATCCCAAATACTTATACATAAACATGTTAAATTTGCAAATCACAGTTTGCAAAATTATCATTTATTAAATGTTCTCATATTATTGATTGTCCCAACTTCATCTAATCATTTTGTGAACTATATACAATGTACTAAAATTTCTATATATCACAAAGACACTTCATTATCACTTTCTGAACGTACAACGCAGGCATATATAAATAATATGAATATTAAAATTATACTTATGATTTATAATCTAATTTTGTTTTATACATCCTTAGATTTATTTATTTTTAGGCACATATTCGGAGAGATTCAATATAAACATTTACGATTTCGTCCAAGGAAAAAATATTCAACAAGCCCTAGATAACTCAAATAATTTTCGTTTAATTTAATTTTGTGTATAAAGTTTTCCAGAAATTATGTATAATATTTTAGAGCTTATTTTTATAAAACCTGATATGTTAATTTAAAAGTTTTTTATTTGCCGAATTTATCTCAATCATCGAATTTGGACGGATATTTATAAACAAATAGTCTAGAAACTATTTAATAAAATTTTCAACATTTAACATAAATTAAAATTCATTTTTAATATTTCTAATTATTATTATGACACTTTAAAGTAGGTATTTTATCCATGATTTAATAAAAATTTGCCTATAAAACATTAATAACACATGCACTTCACAACAGCATTAACGCAGTTGCCGAATTAGATTTTCATGTGATTTTAAACAATATTGATCAAAATAACTAGCCAATATGACATTGAATTTGGTATCTGATTTGTATAATTTATCAGTAAGGTATTTAATTGATGATATAAACACTTATAGTGAATGTAAGATTATAGTCATGATCTTCATACTTTCGCTTAAAAGTTATTAACATCAGAAAATATTTTCTTTCATTATCTGACCAAAAATATTGCCTATGAATCTCAGCATTGGTACTAAAATTGTAATAAATTACATTACCTCAATCCGTGTTTTATACATAAACTTCACCAGATTTCGGAGTTTTCTGAGAAACAGCACTGGTCTTCCTACTTCTCTCACCTTCTTGCAAACTCAATGCATTATTTTGAGACCCCGTCTCAGAAGCATTGTCATTGCCGTTTCCGCTATCATCAGAATTAGAACTTGTAATTTCCGTAATAGTCATAGGAGTTTTACTAGGGACAGTATCCACAATCGGAGCACTGGTCGTGGTGACCAAACCTAAAGAGCCTAGTTGAGCTATGGACACTGGCAGAGCCATTGGAGAAACGGCTACTGAAACTGGCATTGTCACTGGGATCGTGGATAAGCCTGCGGATTGAAGAGTAGGCTGTAAAACGGCTTGGGCTAAGGCAGCAGTGCTTGGAGAATTGGGCAACAGGGTGCTATTGTGAGAGCCTCCTTCGAGTTCTTGGATTGGAGATAATACCAGAGCACCCACCACGGAAACTTCGTTCGTGGTCTGGAATTGGGTTTGGCTGGCGTTATAGTTCGGCGGTGTTGCTCCGGAAAGCTGGGGAAAAACAAAACATTATTAAAATTATATAAACAAGATAAAACATCAGAAACAGACTAAGTATTCGTCCTTCTTGAACATTGCTGCAACATCCAATCACATGTTAACTATTAGACGTAAGAGCTAATATCAAAAATATCCCACACATAAGAGAATGGTAAATCGATGGATTGCCTCTCATGAAATAAGTAGTCATAAGTCTTATCCAATAGCTTATAGAACATATAAGATATATGATTGCTGTTCAAACAATTACAATTACAAAGTTACTTCAGAAACAGACATGTGTACTAACAGCAAAAAACGCATTGCCTCTTACTTTGTATATCATATCTTTCCATTGTTGGCCCTTTTCATTGAATAGTTATAATCAAAAACTTGCATACTAGTACACAATTTTCATAAAAATTCTAGGAGTATTTCATTGTTCTTTTACCTGATGAGCCATCAAAGTAACACCTTGAGCATGGTTCTGCAAAGCACTCTGGAGAAGCTTTTGCTCACGATCGACAACTTCTTTGGTGACGTCTGGAGTTGGAATTCTAGGTCGATTTTTGACCGTGACTGGTACACCAGAACCGTTCAACTTAGAAGCTGGAAATAGAAAGATTATATACTTATTTGGACGAACCACAATGTAATAATGTAATAGCTAGGCTAGACATTCTAGTTATTATTGAAGTTTCTGTGTAGTATGTATATAATCAATTATATAATAATCAAGTTATTTTTCTGGATGCATTTAGAGTTACTTTGAGGAGTTTATGCAGAACATACTTCACAATAAACGAGACACGAGATGTAATAACAAGTCAGATAGCACAGAAATTGATTCATCTCATATCATTATTTTTAAAAGATTTAAAATTGCAAAACAATTTTATAAAACTAAGACTTATCTAAAGCTTATTATATTTTATAAATTTATATCCTCACAGTGTCTAGCAAATTGCTTATTATTCCTCTGCGATTTCTGCCTTCCAACCAGTCTGTCATACAAAGACATCTTATGCAAGTTTTGTCCACTGCCAGCAAGTGCAGTAACTTGATTATGCTGCAGTTGATTTTGATTCAAATTCGGTCCTGTCTGGTCCGGCCCGTTGCTGTAGACGCTGTTGACCCTCGGCCTGGCGAAAAGTCCGGGTCCGCCGGAGGAATAGGCCGTAGACGCGGACCGGACACTGCCCATGCGGGTTATCTGGCGAGCGAACCAGTTTTTGCGACGCTCGACCAGCGGAGTGTCGACGCTTTCCTAAATATTAAAGAAAAATTAGAAACTAGCTGTAAGTGGAATTCTGTCTGAAGGCAATAAGGGATGGTGCCTTAAGGCAAATTGCTGGAACTTCCCGTACCAAATATTATTATTTTCTTAAGCACGATTAACATTTTTGAAAAAGTTTTACTAAATAATTATTAAAATCGGATGCTCCGTGTTCTTAAAAACTGAGTTACCGTTTTTAGCACTTTTTGCCCCGTATCTTCGGAACGTCTAGACCTGCCTTTGCCAAAAACAAATCAGCACGTCTCCTTATCAATATGAATCGAATGTTTTTTGAATTATCGAAATCGTCGACGAAAATTTGTATCCGCACACACACACGCACACACACACACATACATCCATTTTTTCTAAGGTATGCCAAAATGTTCAGAAACCTTTGAAAAGCAAAGATATATAAAAATTTTTATTTTCGATTTTTTTGCTAACTTTGCAAACTTGCCCTACGGGAAGTTAACTAGTGGTGCATGACATCGTGCCTTAGGGCAAATTGCTGAAACTTTCCGTACCAGAATTAAACATTCGAAGGGGAAAAATCAATAATCAATAAATATTGATCAATGATTGATAACAATAGTTAACATTTTCAAATAGATAATTATAATCACTATATATTTTATTGTTTATAAAATATACAGTGACCATCTTATCGCTCAAAACACTTGAGAAAGTTTACATTAGCAAGAGGTGCCGAATAAATCCATCTGAGGATATATTTCTTACGATTAGAATAACGCATTTCAAATATATACAATTTTAAACTGAATTGTAAATTTAACATTCACATTTGAAGTATAAAACTTTGTACACAAACACAAACTTAAAACACTAATAGGAATCAAAAGAACTTTAATAAATAAATTGTTAATGGTTATAGCCTCCTCGTTTTCAATTTAAATTAGTAGTTATGTATTGTTTATTTATTGAAGTTGAACTTTTTTTAAAACTCATATTAGTGTTTGAAGTTTCTGTTTTTCGTCCTGGTTTGATTACTGAATGATGACACACATCAAGTGTCGAAACGTATAATTGATAATTTTTTTTTTCTATCCACCTTTTTTAATTCGACGAAAGAACTGCAAATAGTTTCAAATATATACGAGTACATATTATATATAGTTCTGATAGTGGCTTCGTTTAAAAACTACTATATGTTTTTAATTGTATATTCAGTTAATTTTTTTGTAAGGATTTCTTAGAATTTGTCCTTTTGTCAATTATTTTCTTTTTATCGCAACAGAAACATGTTCGAATCAATTCGAAGAAATTATCAACACCAGTTTTGTATTTCTGCTTACTGCCATAAATCTGGAGTCTGACGCAATTTGTAAATGCGACATGCGTGTCTTTATGTTCTATTTAGTTGTAAAATGATTATAAAATGATATTTGATATTGATAATAGTTCAAGGTAAAGTATTGAAGACAAAGTATTATTTTTTGAGTATGTGTACAACCATAAGGTCCTTCAACTAATAATACTGAACGGGCATAATATGGTTTTATAAGTATGTTATTATTACGCCAGCACTGATAAATTTATAAATCCTCTATATGCAATTGATAACTTGTATTTCCCATGTAAGAAGTTTAGTTAAACTATTTTTTGCCGTAGGGTTGAGTCTATTTATAGAACGACACATTAATAGAGACTCGGAGCAAGTCCGGTAGTAATCTTCATTAGCCAAGGAACAGAGACAAATTAGAAGTAAATAAGTACAAAATTTAATATATTAAATTTTCTACAAAGTTAATATGAAATATAAATTAAATTTAAAATAAATGAATTAAAAGGATTTGGAAGAAGAAGAATGCAGATGATTGATGACTTAAGAGAGAAGAGAAAATACAGGGAACTGAACCTGAACAAGCATGAAACAGAAATTTGTGAAAAAATGAATATTGGTAATAAAATGGTAATATTAACTATAAACAAGTGAGGTAAAGGTATTGTTGATTCATGGTACCCACACACCATAGACCTGCCTTCAGACAGACTACCATTTATTATTATTAAGAATTAAATTGTCTGTTACTCATAAAATAAAATCAGTAAGTAAACGTTTAAATAGTATATATAATAATATGTAAATTTAACTTATTAACATATATTTAACACTATAAATTCAATATCTTTTAAAATTCAGATATAACTTAATTTGATAAGAAAAATTGTGTAATCACTTGAAAAAAATATGAATAATTAAAAAAAATTGGTAAAAATATTTTTCAAATCAATTTTTAGAACAGTGATGATTCCGCACAAATACGAATATTGAAAAATAATATATTTAATTAATTTAAAATTTCGAACGCTTCTTCTGAAACCTTTTTTTTTTTCAAAAATCAAACGTTCATTAAAATGATTACAATTAAATGATAATAAATTACAAATTGTGTGATCAATGAGTCAATGAAAAAAAATAATTTTTCAATTTTTGAAACATTATATATCACAATAAGATAAAAAAATATTAAATTTTTAATATTTAAGTAATTCATTTAGATTTCTTTTAAAAGCTTAATTTTTTAAAACATCAAACGATAACATTTTTTTATTTTTTTGTAAAATTAGCACGCGATATATAATGAATGCTTAATAAAAAATATATCATTAATTAGTCATTTAAATAAAAGGAAAAATCTTCAAGTTATTGCTCAAAACAGTGGAGATTCCAAACAAATAAAATTATCGAAAAATAAAATGCACAAATAATTCATTCCGAGCTATTCCAAAAGCATCCTTTTTCAAAAAAATCCAACGTCCAGTATTAAATGGTAATAAACTATAAAATTCTAGTGAATTTTGCATGTGATATATCAATAATTGCAATTTTGTGGTAAATTGTAGCAGAACACTGGAAAATCCAATTTACATGTAAAAAATTGCAAGAAATAAAAAAAACGATATCAACTGTTTGTACACTTGTATAAAGAATTAATAAAAAATTATAATATATTGATTAGAAAATATTCAAATAAATATATCAATCAAACAAAAATACATAAAATAATTATTTCTGATTATCAAATAATTTCTAGATAATTAGATTTGTTAAAAAAAATTATAATTTTTTTCCGTATAGTGCATCTCTGCAAGAAATTAGTTGCTGGCGCCAGCGGACAAGTCGATTTACGTGAAGAATCTCGTCTGGAGATTTAATAGATTTGCTTTCCAGTAATTATTGAACAATGTCGATATACTATGTCAAGAATGTTTATTTACCTTAAGAAAGAACGGGCAAAGTACAAACTAAAAATAGAACTTCAATAATATTTGTTATTAAAATATCCATTACCAAATTATTTCTATAAGGGTACCATCTAAGGAGGAATCTGGATGATCAAAAAGTTACGCGAAGAAAATATTACAGGGAATTGAGACGTGAATTTAGTAAAATTAATAATAACACATATATGTTGATGCCACTTACCAATAATAATTGATAACACCTAATAAATTGCGCAAGCAGTCAAATTAAGAAAACAAATTATTTTTTAATATCTTGTGAATATAAGTTATATTTTAATAATTGCATAAAGAACAAGCACTACTTTAAAAATATTACTGATCGATTTCATCAATCAACAATTAAAAATTTGCAATATTTGATATGATTTATGTATTCATTATCTATTTATCTACTTACATAATCAGCATAAACATCATCGTGTTTCCTAACAGGAGGCATGAGGTTGGCATACATCGAATCAGCATTGCTGACCTTATATCTGTCAGCAGATCCAGGTGGTTCATGCCTCCTATAATGTTCAGATGCCACCGTATAAGGAAGATCCCTTGGAACCACTTCTTCCCAATATTGATCCCTTAACAACTCTGGATGCTCTTCGTGCATTTCGTCGACTATCATATAAGCAGCCTGAGGAAAATAGAAGAATGTATGTGGGAAGAAATAAAGTTTTTAGAATGATTACCAATAATAATCTATTATTTATTATTATTACGAAAATAATCTTCGATGTGTTTTATTGGAAATGTTAATTAACAGCAATACGTTGCCAATATGTCTATTATTCCACCTTCTATTTCGACATTTCAATTGAAGCAACTTTCATAACTTTATGGCAGCTATCATTCATGTCAAGGTGCGACATTTTAAATGATCTTCCTCTATGATTTAGTAAAAGGGATAAATTAACTAAATAATTGATTAAATTTTATAATAATTTTTTTACATGCTGGCATGAGGTATATACTCAAATCGACAGAACTGAGAAAAAACAATTTGGTACAACTTATATATTTTTTATAATTTAATATAGTTCCAAAAAATTACATATCTAAATTTGATTTAATACTCTTATTGTTATATATTTTTTTCTTCATTAAATCATTACCTTTATATGTCGATCGATCAACCAATTCAATTCAATATCGTCATCGTCTTCACCAAATGGATTTATTAGGACTTCTGCAACTTTCAGCCAACCAACGTAGAAACCAAACTGCAAAATATTAATAAATAGAAGTTTTGAATTAATAAGTTAATTATATGTTTTATGAATTGAATATAAAATATTTTTGTAATAGTGAATATAATAAATAAAAATAATTTTATAATAGGCTACCGACTTCCAAAAATGTTGTCACCAATCTATATTACATTTGGCTACATTTGTCATTTTATTTTTTTTATAGAGGTATTGATAATTTGAAAACCGATATTTTGCACAAAAAACGATTTTTGAATCCCATAATTTTCTCCTATAAACCGATTTTTTCAATACCGACTTCCCTAGTTTATATATTATTTTTTTATGCGAACTGTTAGTAAAAGAAGCAAATATAGAATAAATCTTTTCTCGAATAAGAAAGCTCTCTTATATCAGAAGCTTAAGATAAAAAAAAACTAGTGGTGAATGGCATTGTGCCTCAAGACAAATTGCTGGAATTTCCCGTACAGTAACATTTTTTCCCAAAAGCAATCATTTCGTCAACACAAGCAGAAAGTTTTTCGAATCATTCAAATCGGATCCTTATTTCTCTCATAAACTGCCATTTTTTGCACATTTAGCTCGATATCTCCGAAACGGCTGGACCAGCCTTTGCCAAAAACTGATCAGCACATCTTACTATCAATAGGAATAGAATGATTTTTTAACCATTCAAACCGGTTGATTCGTGCGCCCGAAAACGTGGACGAAAAATTGTATCCATACATACATACATACACACACACATTCATTTTTCCTGAGGTATGCCAAAATGTTCAGAAACCTTCAAAACGTGAAGAAATGTAAAAATTTTCAATTTCGATTTTTGGACGATTACAATAACTTACCATACGAGAAGTTAAATATTGAGCAGGCCGTAATGTTTAAAAAAACTATCTCGGCCAGCTCGATATCAAGGAGTATGATATCAAAACTCCACTTAAGATTATAAATATCAAATATGATCATATGTAAAGATCGCCTTTTATGAAGAATACATATCTAATTTACAGTCCATACATAAAAAACGAAGAGTGTTGGTCCAAAAAAATTGCAGGTTAGAATGTACGATAGCAAAACACAGCTCATAAACATGTACCTAGTTCCAATAGTTGTTAAAAAAATTACAAGTGTATTGACTTCTTTCATTTTTTTCTAACTATTTACCATTTTTGTTATTTTCTACCGTAACCTTCAGACGAACTCGAGTCTGTCAAATAATTATCAGATAAACAAACTAAAAAGGCTATTGCTTATTATATAATTCAAATAAACAATCGAACGTGAGCGGAATCGATTCCGATTACGTAATTTTCAATGATTAAAAAGTTTATTGTCGTAACTGAAATAAGGATGCGGGCAGATTTCGTCCACATTCAACTCTTTTTGCATATCAGGCCACGGTTAGACGAGCGCGTGTCGAATTGATACGCTCGAAAGAATACGAAGAGAATTATAAAATGGAACTATTGATTTTTTTCAATTGTTTTGCCAGAGGATTCGTTTGCGATTAGTTTTGGTTTAAGGTTACGCGAACTTGGGACGAATGCAGCTATCATGATGACCTCCGGGGGAAAAATCATTGATGATATAGCCAAACGTCACCACGAAAAAGGACAGATGAACTAGCAAAATGGGAGTTGATTTAGAGCAAGCAAATAATAGAAAAGCTATATTTGAAGAGATGGATCTGTATGTATCTAAGAAACTTGGTGAACTTGGGACAATTGCAGCTATTTTGATCACCTCCAGAGCAAAAATCACTAATGACATAGCAAAAAGTCACCACAAAAAGGGACCGAACAGAGTATTACTAACAATCAA